TATTTTTAGAAATAGCCTTTGTGCACAGCCAGCTTTGTACTCTTCTAGGTTCAAAAAACTGTCGTCCATAAAATGCGTTGCACAAATTCGAACATCTGGGTTGTGCTGTTCTGTTGTAAATAAATCTTAACCAATGATTTCTAATTGCATCTACTTCCGGAAGGCCAAATAAAGTGCTTTTGCTTACGCACTGAAACACACAGCGTCTCTCTGACATGCTGCATCAACACTACTGCTGTTCCTGAAACCACGCCGCCTTTCTTTGCGTGCACATTTGGGCAGCATTATGCTAATATTTCCACACAGTGATGTAGACATGTAGGGGCGTGTTAGAACGAGGCGTTTTAGGTAGGCGTGGTTGACTCTTAACTTTTAAGAAGAATATCTCTTTGGATTTGAGACTTTAGTCTTTGCAACTTTACAGATCTTCTTTATGCACCAAGAGCTTGTAACACTCCAAAGAGAAAGAACAATTTGAAATCGCATCATATGACCCCTTTAAAGTCTGATTTTGTGGTGGCTGTGCTTTAAAATTAAATTACTATAATCTTAATTCAAGTGATGAAGGATTTGGAAAGTCTGATAGTAATCAGTGTTGAGAACTACTGTAAGGTTAACCCTGCCTAGTTTACATATTTGAAAATGATTAATAATTGAAAACGTAGTCAAATGTATTCAGTTACATTTCTTTAATAAAGTAATTGAAATAGTTACACAACTGTAATCTGTAACCTATTACATTTCCAAAGTAATCTTCCCAGCACTGATTATTGTGATGCGTTTCCTCTCAGGAATATGACAGGTTCTTGTTGATCTCGCTTCTTTTACTCCAGTTTACAGAGGAGAAACTGGGACAGGCTGAGAAGACCGAGCTGGACACACACTTTGAGAATCTGCTGTCCAGAGCTGACTGCACCAAAAACTGGACCGAGAAAATCTACAGACAGACTGAAGTTCTGCTTCAGCCAAACCCTGGTGAGCAGGTGCTGGTGACTCAGACACACCTGATATATAAGGGTTATGAGTCAGTTCAGGACACTTTTGACTGCTGCTGTGACTGTGTTTCATCTGTGGCACCTTGAACATGATCTGGAATAAATATCTGATTAGGGCTTTGATCAAACATCAACTACTGTGTATGATGATAATGACATTATTCAGTTTTTTGGAGAAAAGTCTTGGAGCCGTAAGTCAGAAATTATTTGTTTATCAAATAATTGTTTATTTGTTTAAGTATTTTGTATTCATTCAATATTATATATTATTAATATATTTCATATATTATAAATAAAGTATTATATTTAGTGCCGTCAAACGATTAATTAGGGCTGGGAAAATAAATCGATGCTTCGCGAATCGAGAAATGATTCTGCATCGATTCTGAGATTTTCCAAATGCATCGCGAGTCGATTCTGAGCTTAGTTTTGAACAGCAAAACTTGTTTCCAAATCCTTACACACACTTGAACCTAAAATAATCATTCATAAAATTCGAAAAGGTTGAAGCGATCCTATTTAGATCCTGTTTAAATGATCCTGGGGACTGACAAAATGTCCTCTAATTAAAGACTTCCAAATTTATTTATGTGTCCAAGTAAAGGTCCTTTAAAAAACTGCAAAGTAGACCAAAGTGCTGAAGTATGTAGTTTTTGCACCACAAAAATCATTGTCATCGTGTTTTTTCCTTTAGTATGTCAAAAGTGTCACATCTTGACTGCTATTGTTCATTTGTTTTTGATGTTGCTTTATATGTCCACTTGTGCGCCAGGTGCTCGCATCGAAGAGTTCCTGTATGAAAAGCTTGACCGGAAGGTTCCCCCGCGGCCCACTAATGGAGAGATCTTAGGCCAGTTCATGCTGGAGGCAGCGAAGGAGTTTGGACCAGGAACCCCGTACGGTAAGAATCCAAACTCAGAAACATGTCTGACAATGTTTTTGTCGTCTCATTTGTATTTTTTTTTTATCAGCACTTTAAAATTCTTTGCAAATCTCAGCACTGGATTGTCTGTGTGCATTTTTGGCAGAAAAAGGCTGCCAAGAGTAAACACTTGATTTATTTTGTCTGTAAGCTGAACTCCGCTGGGTCGAGGACAAATCCATTGATTTGGTTTTCAAATGATGCTCTTAATCTAATTCAATCCCCTGCAGTAACATTAAAAGCCACTGTCTGTGTTTGTGATTCTAAAGCTTCTTTTGTAGATATAATGTGAAAACACAATAGGTTAGCGAGCGTTCCGCTCTTTAAGTGGGGGAATAATTAAAGTGCACTGACTGTCATGTTGAAGTTTTTCAGTGTGATTGATTTTGCAGTCTCTGATGGTTTTTCCCCGCAGGCTGTGTGGAAGCAGCCAAACCAATAAATCTGGATGCATTTTCCTTTCTGTTCCCTATCGGAGTGATCAATAGTGTCAGAGGTCACAGCAGTCTGTGATGTAATTTCCTGGCCAGCATTCTTCCACAGAGATTTTCCCTTTATAACATTCAGTAGAAGTACCAGAGGTGTCCAATTGATTTTTTTTTCTTTTTTTCTTGCCTCTTACATGATAATTAAATTGACCTAACTGTGCTCTAGTCATTTTTATCAATATTAATAAACCTGATTCTCAAAAACTATGATATTAAAGCTCTGCTTCAGGGTTTTAAACCAGACAGAGGATGCATTTTATGCTTTCTGAGCAATTAGAAAGTCATTCTAGAAAACACATTTGTCAAAGCAGTGATTTGTGATGAGCCTTTTGCAATCAAAACAAGACCTTTGACCTGTTTTTGAGTTTCAGGTCAGTTTTGATCGAGTTGCGCACAGCTTGGAAGAAAAAACATTGCTAAATGCAAATAAAAATGAATTAAAATTGATTATTTAAACATAAAAATTTAATTAACCATACAGTTGTGCAGAAAATAAATATACTTATTTACTCTTTTGTTGATTTTGATTGTTTCCATTGTCCTCATTTGTAAGCCGCTTTGGATAAAAGCATCTGCTAAATGTCTAAATGTAAATGTTATGGGAGAACACTTCTCACATCATGTTATTACTATCAGAGGTCTGTAATTTGGTCCACAATTCACCTGTCACTATAAATGAAACCACAGTAAAAGCATGTAGCTAAAAGAAAATATGACCCTTTATTTCATTCAATATTATATATTATTAATATATTTCATATATTATAAATAAAGTATTATATTTAGTGCTGTCAAACGATTAATTAGGGCTGGGAAAATAAATCGATGCTTCGCGAATCGAGAAATGATTCTGCATCGATTCTGAGATTTTCCAAATGCATCGCGAGTCGATTCTGAGCTTAGTTTTGAACAGCAAAACTTGTTTCCAAATCCTTACACACACTTGAACCTAAAATAATCATTCATAAAATTCGAAAAGGTTGAAGCGATCCTATTTAGATCCTGTTTAAATGATCCTGGGGACTGACAAAATGTCCTCTAATTAAAGACTTCCAAATTTATTTATGTGTCCAAGTAAAGGTCCTTTAAAAAACTGCAAAGTAGACCAAAGTGCTGAAGTATGTAGTTTTTGCACCACAAAAATCATTGTCATCGTGTTTTTTCCTTTAGTATGTCAAAAGTGTCACATCTTGACTGCTATTGTTCATTTGTTTTTGATGTTGCTTTATATGTCCACTTGTGCGCCAGGTGCTCGCATCGAAGAGTTCCTGTATGAAAAGCTTGACCGGAAGGTTCCCCCGCGGCCCACTAATGGAGAGATCTTAGGCCAGTTCATGCTGGAGGCAGCGAAGGAGTTTGGACCAGGAACCCCGTACGGTAAGAATCCAAACTCAGAAACATGTCTGACAATGTTTTTGTCGTCTCATTTGTATTTTTTTTTTATCAGCACTTTAAAATTCTTTGCAAATCTCAGCACTGGATTGTCTGTGTGCATTTTTGGCAGAAAAAGGCTGCCAAGAGTAAACACTTGATTTATTTTGTCTGTAAGCTGAACTCCGCTGGGTCGAGGACAAATCCATTGATTTGGTTTTCAAATGATGCTCTTAATCTAATTCAATCCCCTGCAGTAACATTAAAAGCCACTGTCTGTGTTTGTGATTCTAAAGCTTCTTTTGTAGATATAATGTGAAAACACAATAGGTTAGCGAGCGTTCCGCTCTTTAAGTGGGGGAATAATTAAAGTGCACTGACTGTCATGTTGAAGTTTTTCAGTGTGATTGATTTTGCAGTCTCTGATGGTTTTTCCCCGCAGGCTGTGTGGAAGCAGCCAAACCAATAAATCTGGATGCATTTTCCTTTCTGTTCCCTATCGGAGTGATCAATAGTGTCAGAGGTCACAGCAGTCTGTGATGTCATTTCCTGGCCAGCATTCTTCCACAGAGATTTTCCCTTTATAACATTCAGTAGAAGTACCAGAGGTGTCCAATTGATTTTTTTTTCTTTTTTTCTTGCCTCTTACATGATAATTAAATTGACCTAACTGTGCTCTAGTCATTTTTATCAATATTAATAAACCTGATTCTCAAAAACTATGATATTAAAGCTCTGCTTCAGGGTTTTAAACCAGACAGAGGATGCATTTTATGCTTTCTGAGCAATTAGAAAGTCATTCTAGAAAACACATTTGTCAAAGCAGTGATTTGTGATGAGCCTTTTGCAATCAAAACAAGACCTTTGACCTGTTTTTGAGTTTCAGGTCAGTTTTGATCGAGTTGCGCACAGCTTGGAAGAAAAAACATTGCTAAATGCAAATAAAAATGAATTAAAATTGATTATTTAAACATAAAAATTTAATTAACCATACAGTTGTGCAGAAAATAAATATACTTATTTACTCTTTTGTTGATTTTGATTGTTTCCATTGTCCTCATTTGTAAGCCGCTTTGGATAAAAGCATGGCTACTGAACTCGAGACTCATCATGATATATTAAATAAGCCTAATATCTAGCTTACTTGAACATACCCAGCGATGTAGCTACTGGCCATCGGGAGCACCGGGACATTCCCAGTGGGTCGATCGCCGAAGCGAGGGAGACCTCATATTAGGCGCGGTTTTTAAATTACAGCCCACGCGAAACTGCAAAAAGCAAGTACTCCAAAAGTGTGAAGCGGCGCTACCCGGTGCATCCGCCAGCCGCGCGTTAAAGCAGAGCGGGATCAGTCTCCTGCACAGCGCTGCGCTTCCGCCACGATTTATAAGAGATACACAGCACAAATCGCTCGATCCATTCAGAAATGACACAGAATTGTGTTATACAGTTGTGTGATATGACAACATTAAAGGTTCTGCCTGAAAACAGCCACGACAAGGTAAAATGCATGTAAGCAAACTGCAATGTAAACTAGCGTGAGTGTTTTGCTGTGTTATAGGGCCTTCAATTGGAGTAAGTAAATAAATAAATAGAGGACAAAAACAAATAATGATTATATTACTGAATTCACAGCAAATGCAACAAACTAATAGCCTGCTGCATTTTTGTCACATAGAAATGCACTTGACAGTATAAGCATTGATTTTGTGCTAGAACATAGGACATTTACTGCTAATAAATGCTGTCATCCTTTCCTCACCCTCATGTCTTTCCAAACCTGTATGACTTACTTTCTTCTGTAAAACACAAAAGATATTTTATAGAATGTTACCAAACCATTTTGGTTACCCTTGATTTCTACTGTATGGACACATTTTTTTTAATGTCTTCTTTTATGTTCCACAGAAGAAAGAAATTCATACAGGTTTGGCGATTATGACGATTATTATGCATTTATTCATTTCCCAACATGACTAATGTATAAAATCACATGAACACACTTTAGATATTAAAGTGTTATTTATTGCTGGCTTTTGAAACCGAAATAACACAGTAACCAACAATACAGCAAAAATATATATGTGTGTGTGTGTGTGTTATGTTAGTACCATTAAGATACTCTTTTAGTTTTTTATTAATATTTTAAAATTAGTTTTCATTTTTTATATTTTCTGTGTTCATTTAAATGTTTTAGTAATTTTGTTGTGGGTTTTTGTATTTTTTTTTTTAATATGTCGATTATATGTATATATACACACATAATTTAATATTTATTTTTTAAATTATAGTTATTTTAGTGCATCAAGAATTTAGTGCATCTAGCTGAAATAAATTAAGTTTAAGGTGTTTTGTTTTATTTTATTTCAATTAAAGTGTATTTTATTTCATGTAATAGAATTCTTTTTATGGTTTTAGTTGTAGTTAACTATAATAACTTTATCCACATACAGTATATTCAGATAGGGCGATATATACTATTTAGCAGATCTCAATTGCTTGATTGTTTGTATCGTTGTAAAATGTAACTATATTATTATATTTTCGAAAAGCTCTAATCTGCTAAATGCAACTATAAGGCATGAAGATATCATGACATTATAGTAATTTTTTCTGATTTTTTGTAAAGCTGCTTTGAAACAATTTGTATTGTAAAAAGTGCTATACAAATAAATGTTACTCTACATTAAATATGGGTTGGTATATTAATAAACATCTATGAATAAGTGAATAAATATGAATTCCAGTGCTGAATTTGATTATTTATTTCCTGAATGATAAATGCTTTTATTGCAGTGTTTGGTTGCCACTTGAAAAGCACAGATAATAGATCCATAGAGTGACGAGAGAACTGTGCACTGTCTGTTCTCAAACTAAAGTGCACTTAGTGGTTTTAAATGGCTCATTACCGTCCTGTGACCAAATGCTTTTCGGATGGGCTGTAGTGTCAGTCAGTGGACATACATGGTTTATCTCTGCAAGTACAGGACTAATGCAGCCTGTCTAAAGTATAGAAAACCTTTTAAAAATTAATGTATGGAGTGTTTGTAGATTTTCTGATTTTTTGTAAAGCTGCTTTGAAACTATTTGTATTGTAAAAAGTGCTATACAAATAAATGT